CATAAACACTATACAAATAATATTAGGAATTGTTTATAATCATCAAAACAAGATTAGAAGATGTAGGCTCATAACATGAGACCTAACATAACCCTCACGTCTGTTTAGCGAATTGATTTTCTATTTAGCTTACCTCATCCCCGCAATTTGCTATATTTCTCTTTGAATGAGGTCTCAATTCCAGCTATGGTTTCATTAGCTATTTTACAACTAGAATCCCTCTTTTTTCTGATCCTTAGTTGAAGGTATACAGACGAAAGCGATCTCATCAAGATCCGCTATAAACAATTTGTGGATAAAATGATCACTCGCTCTTTCTTTAGGAAGTGCCACGAGTCTCAAGGGAGAGAAAACGTACTTCCACAGGTCCTTGGTTCGACCTCCCGTAGCAATCCTCACTTTTTTTAAGAAAGTGGAGCGGGACCAATTTTTCGTACTTGCTCAGTGTGCCCCCCTTTCGTCGAGTGCGGCACTTGCCTCACTGGGCTATGGGCCTACCAAGGACAGCAGAGAAAGTTCTCTAACCTGGGAGAAACCTATTTTGAGTCCGTCTTCAAGAGAAGCTGGTTCGGGAAAAGCGGCTTCACGTCGGTTGCTTCGCAAGCTCGCTCGTCAGCTTTTGCTCTACTTCAAGTTGATCTCACTCTCCATGAATGACCTTTCACCTCTGAAAGCAAGCATCATTCCTTCTCAATGCCCGGAGAAGAACTCAACAGAGAGCAGGAAGAAACATATAGAGTAAAGGAAGGCCTAGCTTAGCAGGTTGGATCTTGGCTTAGCAGACTCAACAGATCATAGCTCGGAATATCGGTCAGCCATAAGCTTTGCATTTGTGGATGGAATCCTCCAAGAAGGATTAGAATGACAATTCCCGCTCCTTGGGAGGTACCAAATAAATGACTAGTGAACTTTACTTCACTGAAACGACATTACAATTTGTTTGTTGGCTCCTATCACTCGTCCCATCCCTATGTTTCAAAGGCGCCAAGGGGGCAGGAGAGGCTTTTGCTACTATGACCTTCCCAACCACGGGAAACTGTATCCAAGCTCCGTGGCTAGTCTGATCACGTGCAAAAGCCCCTAACGCATACGAGCTTAATTAAAATTAACTCATAATGACTTGTCTCAAAATAATATTTTGTCTGTACACAATGTACTTCTCTAACAAGTACATAGTTCATGTAATTCAGTTGTATTAACGGTCTATAGAAGGATTGAAATCCAAATAAATTTTAAGGGTTGTTTAGTTGGTTCCTTAAAAAAATTTTAAAAAATGGGCTTCTTCCATTTTCAGAATAAAATTACATGGAACTAGTTTCTTAAATTATAAATCACATCATCCAATAAGAAGGTGTCACATTATCATGTTGGATATTGAGGTTAAAATCTGGAATAAAACTAAGAAAACAGATGTGCTGTAATTTTAAACTTTTTCAATTTAACTGCTGTGCGTTTGTGAAACATTGTGCTTAAAACAATATTTGGCATACTCCGGTGCAAGAATCTCAAGGCTAAAATACTTCCAGGAACAGCAGTACAGTACTCTGGTGTGCACCAACCCAGTACTGTCAAGATCTCCTCGATCTATAAGACCTTTCGGTCAAGGCAAAGATCACCTCGATCTCAGAACATTTCGGTTCAAAACCTTTTGGTTTCAGGGCAAGTTCCTGCGGGCACAGTTTCTGTAGCAGTAGCACAACAGCCTCAACAACGTAAAGATCTCCTTGATCCGACGTTCGTATTCCAAGTTCTCTAGCAAACTACAAGAACTGCCTAATGGGCGCTATTTATAGGCCTCTCTAAGACCAGCTCAAGAGTCACTCTCAATTAATGTGACTGTTACAATTCACAATGGCAATTATGATTGTAACATCAATGCATTAAATTGCTCTAAATGCTATTGTAACTACTGCATGTAGTAACTCCGAAATACGAGATAATCAATGGACGCGTTACTACGGAACGCGAGGGTCACGTCTCAGCAAATCAGATGAACTTCGTTTGTAGGACGAACCTCGTCGAACGGGCGAACCTCGTTCCGGTGGCACCAACGTGGCCCCATCTATCCCCGATGCCTCTTTGCGAAGTGCAAAGTGAGCCTAACAAAGCGTCACTTAGCGCCACAGCCCCGATTAGCCCCGGCCCACTAGAACTTATGAGGGAATAATTAAAATAAAATATTTCTCGGCTTACCAACGACAAGCCTCGAACAATGGACCTTTTGAAACATCAAAATATTAACTTTCCACTAGGCTACTAAATATTTATGAAAAGTACTTGTAGTTAATATATATATATATATATATATATATATATATTAAAACTCATTTTGGAAAGCGATTTTGTCAAAAAAATCCAACATATCATTCATCTTGGTTTCAAATTGAGAATCAAATAAAAAAGGAGTTTTTGCATATTTACCCCTCAAATCTTCTATATTTGCAAGATTATTCTCCAAATCTTGGTATTTGTAAAATTATCCCCCAATTTTCTCACATTGATTTTTCTACCCCTTTTCACTTACCAATTTTGGGTTTTAAATAGGAAATTGTTGCAAACCTATTGGTAACTATGGAGAATTTTGACATTGTCTTGTTTAAAAATCAACACTCTTAAGTTGGACGAAAGATCCAATATGCTAGTTTTGAGGGGCAAATTTGTAAATACCAAGATTTGAGGGGTAATTTTGTAAATATTGAAGATTTGAGGGGTCACCCAATAAAAAAGAAAATTTTATACAAAATATGTTTCGAATAACAATTTTCTTTGATCTATCAAACAATCAAACACCCCTTAAGTGAAAATCATCAGGTTTAATTAGGTGCAAGAGTTTCTTTATGATATGAGCACTTGTTTCTTGGATGTGATAGGAAACAACAAGAATACTAGTCACGATACGTCAATGCGCTCCCCGTCCCTCGATTCTATTTTCACCGTCAATTTAACATTCAAAATATCATTATCTGCAAATACGTGTCATGTGAATACATATTGTTTTTGCATATTTGCGCTTTTAGAGTTGCATCGTACTTTATTAGTTGAATGGTCATGAAAATGTGGAAACTAAAAACAGCTGATTAGTTTTAGTGTTAGCAACTTCTTTTTGTTGAGAGCTCCTAACACACGTGGTTCTAATACTATCTTTCTCTTTCATTTGGGGGGAAAATAAAGGAGTTAAGATGCTTTGATCTACTATCAGTTTGTAAAAATATGTACTTTTAAATAGATTTGAGTTTCAATCATGTACAATTCTTTCAAATGGGAACACATTTGCAGCTTTTGATCAAAGAAGGCAAGTTCATGTTCTCCTAAGAGTAATCGCCTACGAGCTAAGGACGAAAATATTACAATTTTTTTCTTTTTCTTTTTAAGGATCTTGAGATTGCCTTTGGTATATCAAAGATGGCTTCTTAATACTTTGATATAACATATGTATATATACTAGCTGTTAATTTCATAACCTTCATCAAATCTTCTTCTGCTTGTCATATCTTGAAAAATAATATGGATGGTAGATAAGATGAGCTAGATGCAAATCTCTTCCTCTAAAAAAATTTTAAAAAAAATAAATGTTGACAGCATCAGCTACCATGTCTAATGTGTGCTGTCATGAGGAAAGTCTAGTGCAATGAACATTTCCGAAAAATGTTTGGTTAACCAAATCAATTTAACTATCATATCTGAGGTTGTCTCTAACCTTTTAGATTCCATTCATGAACTTCAACCAAACATCCACTCATATCAAAGCCCCTTCCATTTCGTGACGGATACTTCTTTAAGCATGTTTTTCTTTTTATAATTTTTTTGAGTACTCTGTATCTAGCCATTTGGACTTTCTCCCCATTACCTGACGTTATTTTGATAATTTGGATAACTTTTTGCCTTTTATTTGACAGCAATGAGATCAATTTCAATCGAAGCTGTCCACCTACATTGACTATAATTCAATGGAGCTCGCTCTCTCTCGGACGCAACTGCTCGCATGCCGTCAGCTCTGACCTTGCGATGCACACGGTTGTGGGGGCAAAAGGGCAAAAGGGCAAAATGGAAATTTACATCATAAATGTGTGCTCGTGTCAAAACCGACCGCATCGCACGCGGTCGGTTCTAATAGAATACGTAGTTAATTCAATATGTGGCTATTATTATGAGAAAAGCTCATCTATATTCAAGTGGATTTAAGGGTTCAACTATTTCATTCTTAGGGTTTTATGAGTTTTAAACGTAACGTTACACATCATGGGGCTTCATGACTATGAAGTGGTTGAATGAGGTACATCAGTTCTAAAGCCCATCACCACATACTTCAAAGCAATCTAAATGGACTAAAAACTTGGTGACTGGGTCCTCGGGTCCACTTTAAGTTCATATGAAGCTCCTTTCCACTTTCACTCGGAACAAGTCATGACCATTTACGTTAATAATAAACAACCTCACATCAATTTTGATTGAACAACTGAGCTCTGCATTCGCTATCTACAACGTAGAGAAGAGGATTTGAATCAGACTTCAAGCAGCAAGCTTCGATAGCTTAGTCTGCTTAGATAACCAAAAAGCGTTTGCAAAGAACTTGATGATGATCTCTTTTCCTTCCCTTGAAAATATATAATCAACTTGAGACTAGAATGGAAGACAGCATTAAGAAAAGAAACAATTCTCCCCTCTGATGTAAACTTGCAGCGACACAAATACCAGCTCATGATGCTCTAAAATAACCGTGACCCATAAGAGAACAGATCCTTAAAACTATCCAAACCACCAGCAACTAAGAATTTGCCAAATTTGTCCAAACCAGACAACCAGCCATCAATAAAACAGCACAAAGCTCATGCAAACCCCTTCTACCAACAAAAACAAAACAACACAGAGATCGCAAAGCGCAACCCTGAACAGCACTAGCCATCTCCTAACCGCAAAATCTTTCAATAACAAAGCAAGACAAACATCACAAAACCACGCACAACAGCAAATGTAAGGAACAAAAGAACTGCAACCACAACTACACAACAACAAAGGACTTATTTCACTAATATTTAGAAAAGGTCACAAAGATTACAGTGCCGTAACTTCAGCCAGTAAAAGCAGGGCTTTGGTGAAAAAAAACAGCCTCAACGGCTATCATGGCAAGCACAAAATCTGCCGCCATAACCAAAACCCTGCAACTCTCCGGCATCAAAAAGGAACTGCGCAAAAGCAACCTCAACAGACTCGGACACTAAACATCACCGACGCCAAACTGGATACAAGACTCGACAACAACAGACAATACGAGCCCCCGCTAAAACACCAGAGAAACCAAAAATGCATTGATTTCTCTGGCCATACATCAACCGAGCTCCATAAGAAAAACCAAACAGACCATCAACTTAAAAATAAACTGCTATGATCCAGGACTAGGCATGCTGTAATCTCGAGAACCCTTGGCCAAAGCGAGAAGGGAGCTTTACCAATCAATGGCAAAGCAAAAACTCGATAACAGATCTCCTCTAATTGGAGAAGTCTGCAAAAAAGGGCCAAGGTTTCTTGAAAAACTAGCCGGTGTCCTGGACTGAAAGATCCAAAGCCCACTCCCAAGACGAGCCAAAAACTAAATAAATAACTCCACGATACTATCTTTCAACCGGTGCTACTGCTAATCACTCCAGCACCGTAGCTGCTTCTTCTTCCATCAGATTAAGAGAGGATATCACACCACCACATCCTCTCCTCGAGTGACGTGATGCCATGAGCAGCGATTAGACTGCAGTGCTGAAGGTTGAGACCAACCAAGGTAGGTCCCATGTTACCGAAGAATGGAAGGCTCCGGGGTGTCACCTTTGAACAACCTGCAACAGAGAGAATCCTCAGGCTAAGATGCCTTGCTGATGCCAAAAGGGCAACACCGTAATCAGTAATATCAGCCCTTGACATATCAAGCTCCTCAAGCATAGTGCAGTGCTCAGAAATCGCTAAAAGAACCCGATCTGTAAGCTTGTTGCAGCCATCAAGATTAAGCAATTGAAGAGTGTCGCCGTGGGCTTTCACGAGAGCACAAACAGCTGAATCGGTCAGATTGACGCAGCCCCTGAGATTGACGTTGATCAATCCCTCCTCGGAGCTCTCAATCAATGGAAGAAGCCCAGCGTCGGTCACGCCATCAAGACCGCCAAGGTCCAAGTTAATCAAACTCGGGCAGATCTTCCCAACAACAGCCAAGCTTGCGCTAGTGAATCCCGGGCAGTCACGGATAGTTAAAGACCTAAGAGACTTGCATGAAGGAAGAACATTTGGGTAACATCCAATGTCTTTGATCCCCAAACACCTAACCAAAGAGAGTGTCTTGAGCTTAGTATTGCCATTGACAACACCAGTAAGAACACCGACAAGGGTAATCCTGTAGCACTCTTCAAGCTGCAAGTGCTCCAGCGATCTTGCAGCCTCAATAAAAGCCTTCAAGCCAGCATCAGAGAGATAGCAACACTTGCGAAGGCAGAGCTGCTTCAGACTCGGGCAACCCTTTGCAACAGCTTCAAGGCCGGTATCAGTGACTCCACGGCAAGAGGTTATTGCAATAGATTTCAGCTTCAGCAAGCCCTTGGCGTTACCCATACACCAGAAACCCCTCTCTGCAACGTTCTGAAGACCGGTAAGATACAGCTCAGTTATAGCCTTCCCATAGTGACCGATGCAAGCAAGAGCCAAGTCACTGACATTCAAGTTCTGAAGCTTAAGCTTAGCCAGTGAAGAAGAAGCGGAGCACATCATTCCGGCAATCCCCTGGTCATTAATAAGAGGGCAGCCTTTAATGGAAACAGACTGAAGCTTAGGGCAAAAGCGACCGATAGTCTGGAGACCCTCGTTTCCAATACCAACACAAGAATCAATTGTCACAGACATCAAATTAGGGCATCTCTTGGCAACAGCCATCAAACCCTTTCCGGTGACCAATGGGCAATCAGAAAGATCAAGCTTCTCTAGCATAGGACACCCATTAGCAAGCTCAGCTAGTCCAGCATCGGTAACATAAGGAACCTTCCACAATGACAGCACACTGAGTGAAGGGCAGCAACGACCAACAGCAGACAGTCCAAGGTCTGTGAGCCCCCGAATCGGGTGGCTTCCTCTGATGGAAAGCTTTCCAAGGCCACCACGGCCAGCGGTACCAACTGCGATCGCTGAAAGTCTAACATCAGTCACCTCCTTCTCCTCCAAGCACCTTGTCAAGCACCCAAAACTCTCAATTTCTTCCTCATCACCGTCACCTTCCAAGTTCAAATCGGGCAAGGGTTTCTTCGAAGATTCTAGGGATACGATGTTGTTGAAAGAGAGCTCGGAGGCTCGGATGCTGCTCAGAAGCATCAGCCAGCGCTTAGAGACCAGGGAGACGGCGGAGGATCTCATAGAGGCACTCATCGGGGAGGGAGTCGAGCGAGGAGGGTTCTTGGTGTTGCTTCTTCTGGGGTCGGCGGAAAGGAGAGCTGTACCGAGACCTCTTGCGAGGTTGGCAATAGAGCGGCCCTCTTGGCCTGATATCATCATCTCCTGATAAATTCACAAGGGCAAATTCAGAAAAAGAGCAAATTTTAAGGGGGGAAAATCAATTTTTAAACATAACTACACAGAAAGATATATGTTCTCATGCGAAATCTTAGATTTTAAAGCTTATGAATTATCAACTGCCTTTAAAATAGCGTAAATCTAGTTCTAAATTCATTTAAACGAGAGCTAAATTCTGCTCAATGCAACTTTAAATTGAGAACACAAATTTTTTTTTTTTGACAAAATAAAACAATCCAGCAAAAGTCCATATATCTTCCTATGCCAAATCGTACAACCCTTCAAATCAAGATCTAAGATATGATCACGGTAACGAAGTCTTGAATCCTAAAAATAAGAAGTAACCCAAACCTAAACAATAAAAAACCTAAACAACCTCTAAAATTGACAAGATCTGCTGGACAGAAACAAGATCTACAAGCCCAAACTACAAAATTCCACAATAACAATAATAAAACTAGCGGCTTTACCTCCAAAGTTGACGAGGGCCGGCATGAGTGCAAGTCCAAAGATCCGATAGATCCAAGCTCACAAATCGCAACGAAAACGCAAAAAGATTCAATTTTTAATGAAAGCGGAAAAAAAAACCCTAGAAAGGGCAAAAAAAAAAGAGAGAGAGGAGAGAGAAAAAAAAAGAGATGAGGGGAGATTGTGGAGGACGAGGGTGGAGTTTTATGAGTTGGGGTGGGGGTGGGGTGGGGGGTTATTTTAATTTGTTTTGTAATAAGAATTGTTTATGGAAAGTGGGTGGATGAGTTGTGTGAAAATGAGGGGGTCTGAACCACTTTCTCTCTCCTCCCTTTCAGATGCAATGTATCTGAATCAACTTTCCCTCTCTAGAAAAAAAAATATTTTATAATTTTTTAGCTAACTGCGGTGTCCTGCTTTGCTTTCCTCTTCTTTCAGCTGGATTCCTCCCCCCTGGCCCTCTTGCTTTTTTTGGGGCGGGGAAAAATGTACTTGACAATTTATTTAGCGTGGAGCCCGCTTTATTTATAGGACTACAGCTAAGTCCCGAGGAATTTGGCATGGGTGGTAAACGGGTCGGGTACTGAAAATCCGATTGGAGCAAGAAAAAAACAATCTCCTTAAAACGTAGAACCCTTTAAGAAGGCATCATGCTAGGTGTTAGTTAGGGGCTCAATGAGGAAGAAATTTCCCATAATAAATCGCGTCCAAGATTAGGGATCAGTTTAGTATAATTTTGTTTGAGGGTATTTCTGTTTATTATTTAAAAAACAGTCGATAGTGATTAGGGGTGTCAAACGGTTCGGTTTTATCTAAACTGATCAACATCCGTATCCGAACAGATACGGATGTGGTAAGCCATTTTTAAAACCGAGCGGATACGGTTTCGGATACGGATATGGTTTCTTTTTTTTTTGGATACGGATTCGGATACGGATATGAGAGTAATGTTCAGTTGCGGATACGGATATCCGTAATTTAATAAACATAAGAATTCGGGTCCATTTAGATATCCAAAACCAACCCAAACTCAACTAAAAAATCCTAGCCTCCACTACACTGACTACAGCCTCCACTCCACTCTAAATTTCTACAAACCCGACTCCCGACCCGCCGCCCACCTCGTTCTCCGCCCGTTCGTCGTCCGCTAGTTCTACAAACCTAACTAAAAAACCCAAACCCGACTCCCGACCCGCCGCCCGAGCATGTAATGATTGTATGTTTTTCTCTACTTTTTTGTAGTTACACAAGTTGAAACTAGTAAGGATGATGTTCTTGATGTGGCTAAGATAGTGGATGACAAGTTGAAACTAGTAAGGATGATGTTCTTGATGTGGCTAAGATAGTGGATGACGATGACTCGGAGATTGTCGAGACCTTTGTAAATACACCATTAGGTATGTTAATTGACTTAATAAGCACATGATTTAATTTTTTTAATTTTTACATATTTAACATGACAATTCTTCTTCTTCTTCTTCTTCTTATTCTTTCTTTTTTTTTCTTTTTTTGCAAGGTGACATCATGGAGGTCTACGACTCAGATGATGGGAGTTGATATTATGCTTACATCCGTTGGTGTCATATTCTAGTTAACTTTTACATTGATGTGTTAGCTTGAAAGTTGAAACTCTAGAGAACTAATTATGTGGTTTTATTTGTTTGTGTTTGGTGTTTGTTTGAAATAATTCCGGTTATATATGAATTAAGTTGTTTTGAAATGATGATATTACATATATAAATTGCTCTTTTGATGTTTTGCTTTGTTATTTATAGCAATTGCTTAGATACTTTATATCAAATCCAAGTACAATTGATGATATTGCATGTGTTTGCGATTGTTGTATTATATTTTTATCATTTGCAACAACATACATTTATGCAAAGGAGAAGCCTACAACCACATACATTTACCCATTTGGTTGTAATTTATACATATGTGTACTAATTCCTATCTGATTCATATCCATTTGTCGAATATCTGTTTCATATCTGTGATCATATCCGATCTGATTCTCAAATACCTGAACCGTATCCATTTCTGATAAGTGCGGATATGGTTAATGTTTTTTCTTACCGAAGATAATCTGTATCCGTATCCATATCCGTTTATAGAAATCGGATATGGATATGATAAGTGTCATATCCGACCTGTATCCGCTACGTTAACACCCCTAATAGCGATGCTTGGTGAAAATATGTTAACACACGTATTGAAAATATGGTAAGCGGATATGGGGACTTTGATAGCTAGGCATCTAGCAACTCCCTCAATTGCCTCCTCAGTTCTTCTAGCTCCAGTGGGGCCATCCTGTAAGGTGACATTGCCAGTGGCTTAGCCCCAAGAATTGTTTCTGTTTTTAGGTGTATTTTTAGAAGTAATCTAAGGATGTTTTAAAAGCAACTTTTAATTTTTTTTAGTTTATATATCATATATACTTATTATCTTTTAATAATAATTATTAAACACAGTTTTATCAAATACATTAACCACTTTTTAAGTAGTTTTTTGATATTTGGTTAGCAAACAATTACTTTGATAAGGTTATGTAAATTTCTTCAATAAGCTGTTTTTATAAGCAACTTATTATAAACTACAGCAATACTAAACTGGCCCTAAATCTACACTGAAAAATGACTTCTATTAAATCTGTTATGCGCAGCGAAAATTTTAACTGCACCTCTGCAACACAACAAGAGAGTTAGATCGCAATAGGAATTCATGTTTCACCAAGGAAACAAGAACCAAAAACAAAATATCTCAACAAAGTGGGATATCAGCTCTTCCTCTCATTAGTTCTAGGACTGACCTGTCGAGGGAACCTAAATAAGCTATTACAAATCACACAAACAGTGAGACAACCAATTTTACGTAGTTCGACAAATTGCCTATGTCCACGGGGCAATGAAGGGGGAGATCTACTATTAGAGAGAGAATACAAATAGGGTTTACAATCACACAACTTAAACCCTCAAACAACTCTCAAATCTCTCACAAAGGAGATGCTAAAAATCCTTGACAACAGCCGACTTAGCCTCTGCCGAATTTCCCCTCAGCATGCTGAAAAATCAATCTGCTTTTTCCCCACCTGTACTTGCACGCTGCCTTGCACAGTCGCCAATTTTCTCCTTGCACCATACCCCTATTCTGACCAAAAAACTAGGAGAAAATAAAAGCTATATATATAGCCACGTTCATATCGGGTGGGCCTACACAACTCATGCGTCTAGGAAATCTCCTCACGCGGTTTTCGGTTTTGCTGCCTGCAAAACTCACGTGTTTATTCACGCGTTCACGTGGGTGTGGCCACTTATCTCCTCACACGTTCAGAATTGAACGTGTGTGTGGCCCACGTTCATAATTTTCCACATCGGTAAAGTTTTTCCAAAACTGAGCCGATACCAAAGCAACCAAATGCCTCACTTGTTGTGTCCAGTAGGCCGTGAAATAATTCATGATAACGAACTCAATCCACAACAAGTAGAGACCCAAATAAGAACGAGATCACTCTCCAAACGTCAGTATCTACTCACTAAATCGGCTACATCATAAAATAACTGCCTACGTATCCTCTTGCCCAAGGAATCAAGCATTCACGTAGTTCACCCAAATGGCCGCCAACATCCTCAACAATCACTAATGTGCAACAAGTTTTGATAATGATTAAACTTATTGCTCAGAACCATCTTAGTGAGCATATCTCTCGGATTATCCTTTGTGTAGACTTTCACAATCTTCACATCGCCATCTTCAAGAATATCCCGAACGAAGTGATAACGAACATCAATGTGCTTCGTTCTCATATGAAAAAACTGATTCTTTGCCAAATAGATAGCACTCATGCTATCACAATGAATGGTGACGGACCACTGCGATATACCAAGTTCCTTCAAAAATCCTCAAAGACAAATAGCCTCCTTCACAGCCTCTGTAACCGCCATATACTCTATCTCTGTCATAGACAAAGCCGTCGTAGACTGTAAGGTGCATCTCCAACAAACCGATGCATGGGTCAAAGTGAACACATATCCCGTCGTGGATCGGCATTTATCCAAATCCCCGACATAATCTGAATCAACATAGCCAATGCACAACTGCTCACATATAGTGTCTCGCTCATAAACTAAACCAACATTAAGCGTACCTTGAATATACCTCAAAATCCATCTCACGGCGTCCCAATGACCCACTCCTAGATCGTGCATGTATCTCGAAACCATACTCACCACTTGTGACAAATCTGGTCACGTACATAACATCACGTATATCAAGCTCCCAATCGTGCTCGCATATGGAGTCTTCGACATCAACTCTTGATCTCTAACTATCTTCGGTAAAAGATCATCTGAAAGCTTCAAATGGGCTCCTAATGGTACACTAACTGGCTTTGTATCCATGCTAACATGAAATCATTGTAGAACCTTCTTCAAATAAGCCACATATGTCAAACAAATTCTGCCATTCTTCTTGTCTTTGTCGATCTTCATCCTTAAAATACGCTTCGCCTCACCCAAATCCTTCATCTAAAACTCCTTTGAAAGCTGTGCCTTCAACTCATCTATAGCAGATCTGGAAATAGAGGCAACCAATACGTTATCGACATAAAGTAACAAATAGATGTACGCACCTCTTTTCAACTTGTGAAAATATACGTAAGGATCAAACTGGCTCCGAGTGTAAGAATGACCAATCATAAAACCATCGAATTGCCTATACCACTGTGGAGGAGACTGCTTCAAACCGTATAGCGATTTCTTCAATCTGCAAACTAATTTTTCCTTCCTTGTAGCTCGGAATCCTAATGGCTGAGTCATATATATTTCTTCATCAAGATCACCATGAAGAAATGTCGTCTTTACATCCAACTGATCAAACTCTAAACCATACTGTGGCACCAAAGCTAACAAAATCCGAATCAAAGAATGCTTTACCACCGGAGAGAAAACCTCATTATAATCTATTCCTTCCTCCTGTGCATAGCTCTTCGCAACCAACCTATCCTTGAACCTCAATGGAGTGCCTTTATTGCCCTCCTTCTTCGTGTATACTCACTTGCAACCAATTACCTTCCGCCCCTTTGGAAGCTCAACAAGCTCCCACGTATCATTCTTGTGAAGAGACTTCATCTCCACCTGCATAGCTACCTGCCACGAATCAACCCCCGAACTCGGCTCGGCCTCTCTGAATGTAGTAGGCACC